TCAGCAGACATTTTTATGCATCATCTTTAAATTGGCCATTATTGGTGATATCCAGTATAGTCCCATTCCAGCCTCACATGTTCTGTGTCCAAAAAATGTAGGAGCTCATTGGAAATGCACAGCTTCACTCCTATGTCTCTCTAATAGGGCAAGCGTGTGTTTTGGCCCTAGGTAACTTTCATCTTTGTACCCCATCCTTATTCACACCTCAACTTTGGTCTTCATCACTATGCCATCATCAGATAAGGATGATGTGGCAGAGAGAGAAAAAGAGACAGAGACAGAGAGAGAAGTTATATGAACATGGCATAACCCAAGATTTGGGGCTTGGGGTCTTCCACCCATGTACTCTTCCCTAAGTGTGTTTAACCTGGTGTCTGGTCTCTTCTTTTGCTTTTCATTGTGAGTTTTAGATTGATTTAATAAATCATGCTGTTTATCTTAATTTGGGCTGTAAGCATTTTCATTTTTGTTCTTCCATGGTGGTAACTGGAGGCCAGCATTTATCACGGTCATTTCCCATACAACAGTATCGATAATAACAAAACTAATGGTATTTTAACAGATGACTATGAGCCTTCTATTGGCATAGTTGATATTTGTCAGAGTGTTTCTGAAAATTGATTTTGATAAATGTTTTGAAGACAGTTTAGTTTAAAAACTCAATGAAAAGTGATTGTAGTATTAGATATACATATAGACCACAGAATTAAGTTATGTAAATTATCAAATTATTTCATGATACTTGCAAAGAACTATTATGTACATTTATACACATATACATATATAATATGAATGTATATGCGCATTTGTATATGTGCATACATACCCACATATCTACATGTAGATCTGTAAGTTCTCTGATTTTGATTCTAGCAAGAATTTAAAACTGTGAAAAGACAGGTGAAATTATTTCTCACCAAAATAAATTCAACAAACTTTTATTCAGGACCTGTTTGCCAGCCGCAGAATCAAAATCAAAATCGATGTCAGTTCAACTTTTTTTTTGTCAGATATGTCAATATGCATCTACCTTTGCTATTAACTTTAGTTCACACCTTTTTGTTAAGGTGGTTACATGTTGTAAGAAATGCATAAATTTCTGTTATAGAGCTAATTCAAGAAAATATGTATTTTCCCCCTATCCATGACGAAAAGTAAAATCCCTTTTTACAGTTAATCATTGAAATAAATGCCATCACAAGTCATATTGTGTACATTTATGATACACTTTCACTATAAATCTAAGTAAGGTAAGTAAAGTATTTGCACTAGATTTTGATTAGCAAGTTCAGCCTTAAAAGATCATTCGGTACAGTGTCAGCACATGAAATGATCTCTTGGTTCTACTTAAACCTCCCCCCCGCCAGTTGCTATCTATCCAAACATTAAAGATTCTGTATACACTTAAGTACATTAAGAATTCAGTATGTTACAGTTTAACTGTTTATAATTCCCCTGCAGCTTGAAAGTAGGTGTCCTTTCTCTTCCTTTGCCATGCATACATCTGACTCAAACACAATCCCGTGTCTCTGATAGGAACCAGCAGCTAGCTCTGCGGTGTCCAATCTGCAGCGGAGCTCTGCCAGCCTTTGGCCAGTCACTTTATTCAAATACCGATTTGTAGTGGGGCTGTAACACCCACAGTGGTTTCATTACAGAAATACAATGAAATCAGGTAGCAGAAATTCATGGAACTGATGAGCTTCCTTCCTAGTGGTGGCTAAAATTACTCTAGAGCAAACAAAATTGGACTGAGAGACACTGCCTGGAAGTCAATGGCTTCTTTCCTCAGGAACCCTTTGTTTTACAAACAGTGGAGGGCAGTTGTCAATTCAGAGGCGGCAGAGGGTAGGGATGTATACTTAAGCCAGGCCACTGAAGTTCAAATCCTTGCTGGGCAAGTCAGTTGTATGGGACCTTAGGCAAGCCGTGTAATTTCTCTGGGCTTTGGTTTCTCCATCTGTAAAATGGAGATAGTTCATATCTCATACCATTGCTAAGTATTGCTAAAACAAAAAACAAAACACAAAAAAACACCAAACGAAAAAACCAAACAACCCCCAAGAAACAAAAACCAGAGTTGGGGGGCAACCTTGAGCTAAAGCTGCATTTCAGGCATGTTTTAATCAAAATGGAAACTTGAGGGGTCTTGGGCCAGGTTTTTTAAAGACCAAAAGTCAACTTAGTTCTTGGCCTGTGGTTTGTTCTTAGGATCATAAATAAGGTCACAGTCATGGACTTTGAACACTAAATCAGATGAGCTAACTTTTAACTTCTTCCACGTCATCTCAAAAGCTATTAGAAACATTTATTAGTAATTTCTTTTAAAGACAACTGCCCAGTTGGCAACCATTGTCTTTGGAATGAAAAATCAGATATTTAAAATTTATTGAATTATGATTTTATTATTAATTCTGTAAATTCAAAGAATGGTTATTATAATCCCTCCTGTGAGGTTTAGTTAACTTTTATATCTTTCTATGTTATAATTTTATGAGTTATCTTACAGTGGTTTCAAATTATTTCATCAATCTTTGTCTTTGTTTTTAATTTATACAGTGGAATTTACTTGTTCATTGGTGTAAGTTTCAGTATCTTGCCAAACACTCTGTGGCAACTGAAAATACAAGTTGCTTATATGAGACTCTTCTGTTTGAGTGCAGTGCAACAAAAACAAATTACGCTGAAAACCCAACATCACTGAATTGTAGGCACTTATGTAACTAATTCAAAAATACTTTTCTTTTCTGTAATTAAGAAGACAAATTTGACCTACATCTTTGGGAGGCAAATAATAGGGCAAAGCATATTTTATGGCTAGAATAATTTTCAGTTTCACTGTATTATTACTTATGTTTTTTTTTAATCTCCCCAACTTGACCAAATGCTTTATATCCCATTCAGCCCATCTTGTTGCAGAACTCACATATATTAGAAGCTTGATCAATATTTATAGACCAATTTTATTATTCTTATGTGTTCAGATTATAGTTTAAAACTCAGGTTTATGAAGAACAGTCCCATCAGTTTCCCAGAGTGTTGTGAAAACCTCTCCAGGTACTCATGGTGATCCCATGTTCAAAGTGCACTGTCAGACATTGGTGCTGCTCAGCCCCCGGGGCGGCCGGGGGAGGGGAGGGAGGGGGGGGAAGGGCAGCTGGAGCCCATAGGCTAAGAGCGAAGAGCAGCTTTCTCTAGTGCCCCTGGGCAGCCCAAGCACAGCAGGATCTGAGAGGTGATGATGTGTCCTCTGGCAACAATGATATCAGGCTCTGCTGGTTGATGCTAGGTGTAGCCAATAACGCTTCTTACTGTCTGGACATCTATGTCGGCTACCGGCTGCACAGCACACAGCATCCATAAGGGTGCTGAAGGAGGTGTGGGAGGAGTTCACTTTGCAGGAGTCCAAGAAGCTCTGCCATAGTCCAAGTTGATAAGACACAGATCCCCTTCTCCATTCCTAATCTGTATATTCACATGTACACATACTGTCCTCCTATCGTGGCTACTATCTTTGTAACAGAATCCAATCCAGCTGCAGACCTGCAGTGAATGCCCATTCTGCAAATCAGAGCTTCAGCATATTGCTATGAAAAAGTCTGATTAGATTTGAGATCATTGGCATTATTACAAGAAAATTCAACATTCCATTGTCTTGGACAGAAAAGAATGTTTAATTTCTTTAAATATAATTTCCAACCATGGTAAATTTTTGAATTGTTGTAAAAATGGTTTTTACAGGGGCGCCTGGATGGCGCAGTCGTTAAGCCTCTGCCTTCCGCTCAGGTCATGATCCCAGAGTCCTGGCATCGAGCCCCACATCGGGCTCCCTGCTGGGCTGGAAGCCTGCTTCTCCCTCTCCCACCCCCCCTGCTTGTGTTCCCTCTCTAGCTGTGTCTCTCTGTCAAATAAATAAATAAAATCTTTTTAAAAAACGGTTTTTACATTTTTATATATCACTTTTTTTTGTTGATAGTGACTATCTAGAGATCAACTTTTTCATAAAAATATGAAATTATTTTACGTGGAATTTTATGCATATTTAATATTTAAATCACTTCTAATATTTTTCTATTTTTTTTAACACATAGGTAATTGTAAAGAAAAGGCAGTTAAATGTTTACTAAAGTCCAGGGAGCCATATCATTTTTTCTGTGACATAACTGGAAAATTTGGGGAAGCACCTTCCATTAGGGATTTTCGGTGATTCATAGGTGTTCAAGTTCCCTCAAAGTGTTTTCAAAACTGGGCAAGGACTTTTCTGCTGACTCTGCGTGGCATAAGGATCACTCAGCTTCAAAGAACTTAGTCCGTTCTTCCAACTGTAAAATACTCTAATACCATTTCATACGGTCCTATTTAATGGGGCCATGTGCAGTGTTTACACTCGAGTATGCACTAGACTGGAAAAGTGATCCACAGGCGGGCTCATATCTGCCGGTTCACCCTCCATGTTAACTGCCTTGGACAAAGTAATCATCCAGCTGTCTTATTCCGTCTTCTGCAGTTAAGACTTCAGCTGAGCCTTCCTTCTTCCAGCCTGCGCTGCGGGCTGAGGGGCTGGTCTGGAGTAGCCGGCCAGCCCAGCCCGATCCTACTACACACTTTTCCCTTGCCTCTGGGCCACTTGCAAGCGCAACCAGGCGCCCAGGTCTCCAGACTTTTCCGGGGAGGCCTCCCGCCCTCAGCCAGGCTGGGTGGGTGCTGGGGGTGGTCTCAGAGACTTCTCGCGCTTTCCCTGCAGGTGTCCCGGAAGGTACAGGCACAGGCCAAAGCCGCAGTCCCACGTTTCTGCGAGGCGGAGCCGGCGTTCCCTGACCTCCTCCTCCCTCCAGGTTCTGCGCCCCCGGACTTGGCAGTGGCAGAAACCTGCCGAGCGTCCCAGCCTAGGGGGCGGGGAACTTGGACACCTGGGGCAGTCGTTCAGGGTCTGCTGCCACCTTCCCTTCCCCCAGCCACCGCTGGGGATGTTTATCTTGCCCTGTGCTCCTTGCTGTTTTCTCTTTCACTTTTCTTTTCGCTGGGGGTTGGGACTCCCCTGGGTTCGGGGTGCCCACGGGGAATCCCGGCTGACTCGCTCGTTGCAGTCGAAGCCCATCGCCACGGAAGGGAGCCGGGTGGCCGCGCCCGTCCGGCTGCGCGGCTTGCCGCCCCCAGCCCTGCAGCCCGGACTCGATGGAGGTAGAGTTCGGCTCCTTCGCTCTGGGAGGGGAGGTGGTGGTGGTTGAAAAGGGGACGGAATTTTCCCCGAAAGTCTACACTTCGGGCCTCTCCCAGCTCCGGGCGGACCCACCCGTTTCCCGCCACCGGCTTGCGCCGCCCCGCCCTGCCCTCTCACGGGGAACACTTGACCACAACTTTAGTTTTCGGTTGCACTACGCACAGAGGTTTTTCCCCTTCTGACCCTTTATTCCTCCCATGCCCTTTGCTCGCCATCCTCCGCTTCCAGAGGTGCGCAGCTTGCTCGTCCGCTTGCGGGTCCCGCGCGGCTCCTCCGTGCGCTCGCGTCTTTCGGTGTTGCAGGCAGTGGAGTAGGGGGAGGCAGCGCCCGGCGCCGGGCTCTCCCCTCCGCTCACTCTGCAGCTGACCCGCGGAGAGCGAGAGACTTGCGTATGGCTGCCCCCGCCAAGCTCCTGGTTTCGGAGAAGACGCCGTCTGGCAGCACGGAGCGCTGAGTTCTGCACCTAACCGAGCTCAGAGAGTTCAAGAAAGGTACCGGAGCTCCCCGCTTCTTCCCTGCCGCCTCCCAAACTCCCTGTAGGTGGGCGCAAGGGTGTGTAGGGCCCTGCGCGTCTGTCGCTACCTTTGTTTGCAAAACCGAGTTACCCTCCCCTTCTTGGATAAGGACCCTCGTCTTCCTAGGGAGAGGAACTTGGCAGAAATGGTTACTGCTGGGCAATCAGGCCTGGGTCTATATTCTCAGTTCCAACCCTGGACAAGCCACTCATCTCTTAGAAAAGCAGTCTTAGTAACTTGGAAGAGATGCGGGAGACTTTAATTGCAATAAAACCCTTATCCAAGGTGGATTTAAATGAAAATCCGGTTGATTTTTTCCAACTGAGATTGCATTTTGCGAACGGATACAATTCATTTCAATTTATGTAATGCCGTGCATTTAAGATTTTGATAGCTTCAACGTAGCCGTAAAGCAAGGTTATTCTTAAACGATGCGTATAACAGATTCTTAAACAGGGTGAGTCAGAAGTTTCAAAACTGGAAGTAAAGTGGTTGTCGCTAGCTGTTTTTCCATTATGTTTTTTAAAGCTACTTTCTAATGTTATGACACGGGTGATGACATCTACTTGTAACTGATAGGCATCCTCCTCTTCTCAGTGTACCTAACGAGGTTTTATTGACTTGACTGAATGAACAGATTAGATCTGGATGGTTGTGGTATCCTGCAGTGGGATGGCTGTGAGGGGGACTGTTCTACTGAAAGCAGCAAGGTGCAATATAGATTCAGTTTTTAAACTCCTGTTGTTTTATTGAAAAGCAGTGTGGTGGGCAAGGTAGACAGAGGAAGGTGGTACAAAGAAGAGAACATAAAGAGATGTAAAGGAAGGGACTGAAGAAAAAAAAGCAACAGGCTTCTTAGATTTAAAAAGTGATGAAGAATTTAAAATTTTATGTAATCAAGTTAAGAAGTCTCAGAAAGTTCTAAAGGTTTGTTATGATTGTGTTTAAGGTCACATTCTTCCATCTCTCCCTGTGTTTTCTCCTCTCAAAGTTTTAGTCATACTCAGAATGGCCTTTCCTGCAGTATCATCTGCTCTGTGACAGAGTGACACAGAGGAGTTAGGTTGGTCACTGGTCCTGAAGCTCTAGTAGGCAGTGTTCCCATACTTTGTTTTTTAACTTCTTATTAATCTATTAATGTATATATTATTTTTTATTAAGTAAGCTCTATACCCAATGTGGGGCTCGAAGTCAGTTCCCAGAGATCAAGAGTCACATGCTCTACTGACCGAACCAGCCAGGCGCCCCTTCCCATACTTTGGATTCACTATTCTCTGACAGTCTGGAGTGGGAACTCCAGAACCTGGTTTGAAGTTGTAGTCCTGAAAATCCAGATTTTGGTGGGCTTAAAGAAAATGATTTGATGCTTTTTGTTTTCACCCATGAGATTCAGAAATAAATGTCAGCAGCTCTATTGCAAGACATACTAGTTGTTAATGAAATACATGTTTATCAACTTCTTTGAAGGAAGGAGAAAATCAGTGGTTTAAAGTTTATTGAAACAGAGTTTGGTAATTGAAGGATTTTAAACCCCAGGAGGTTCTCCATCTCAGGTTTGCTGGCTCTGAGTAGATTTCAGGAAGGCTATGATTGAAGCCCTGAAATGTTATGGATAAGTGGATTTTTCTTAGGAAAATATCCATAACTCTAATTAGTTTTTTAAGTGGGTCTTGAACCCCAAATAGTTTTAAAAACATCTTAAACTTAGAAAACTGTCCTTTTCTTCATTTATCTCTTAGAGTTTACTGTTAAGTTTGCTCACTAGGTAGCTGTTCTTTTGAAGGTTAGTTACTGATAATACAGAGAGTTCTGTCTTTCTGCCAGCAACTTGAATTATGGGAAATAATATGAATTATAGCTAATACTTGTTGAGTTCTTATTATGTACTGGACGTTGTTCTAAGTATGTATTTTTAAAAATCATCATAATAAAGTTACGTGGTGGTAGGGACTGTATTATACTGCTGAGAAAATTGAAGCATAGGGTAATAAATAACTTTTCCAAAGTTACAGAACTAGTAAAGTGGTAGAACTGAGGATTTGAACCCAGACAGATTTAAGATCACGGGTATTTATGAAGAATGATATTTCCATATAAGTATTTCCCACAATTTGGCAGTGACAACTAACCACGACTTCATTTTGACGGACGCAGTGTTATAATGATAGAATGTTGGTGTTCAAGTAATACTGCTCATATAGTATTTGCATGATTGACATCAATCATTAATTATATATTTCAAGATTAGCTTTATGATCAACTAATATTCACATGAGTGTCCATATGTGTTTGGTTCCTTGGAGAAACTTCTTTCATGGTTCCTGAATGAAAACATTAATTTGCATCAGTTTTTGCTGCTAGAGCTTGGCATAGGTACATGTGGATTGATCTATATGCTGAATTTATCCATCTCCTTGTCCATTTATCCATCCAAGTGGAAAGCTGGGGTTCATGGAGAGATCAGAACAGAAGCCTTTCCCATTATATCACAACCGAGGTGGTGTAGTCAACTATTTGAGAAGCTTTTTCAGAGGCTTTATGGTATGAGGGTTGGCAAGAGGCCAGCTGCTTTCCTTAGTTCAATACTGGCTCTTTGATTTACTTACACAGTGATTGCAGATTAGTGCATGAGGCTATTGAGATTGAATAATGCTTAAGTGCTTGCTGCTATCCTATTTGAATGGATTGAGTGGAAAAATTCCATAGGAAAGTTGGAAGAACCTTTATTGTTTTAGCTAGTCCTGCAGTATATTCACTACTAGCTATTTAATGGTGAATTTTACTAATTATTATTATTATTATTTTTTAAAGATTTTATTTATTTTTCAACAGAGAGAGAGACAGCGAGAGAGGGAACACAAGCAGGGGGAGTGGGAGAGGGAGAAGCAGTATTCCCGTGGAGCAGGGAGCCTGATGCGGGGCTCGATCCCAGGACCCTGGGATCCTGACCCGAGCAGAAGGCAGATGCTTAACAACTGAGCCACCCAGGCGCCCTTTACTAATTATTATTATATATTTATTATTTATTATTTTTCTTTATCTTTTTTTTTTCAAGTTCCTCAGTACTGGAATCAGATGTAGGAAATAAGAAGCTCTTTGGTCTCATTTCAATTCAGCAGTGTTATTCGTACTCGTTTTATATCTGGAGGCAGGGTATATGTATACATATATTTTTCAGTGTTTTATTCCACTGTGACTCTAGTAGTGTCTTGCAGGTCATTTTTGAAAGGACCAAAATATACATATATACATATATGTATATGCATATATATGTGTGTGTGTACAAAATGTATATTTTGTATATAGACCATATAAAAATGGATGAAAAAAAGTCTGAATGTGTATTCGCTCATCATGTTCTAGTAATACATAGTTGCTTCTTCTCCTGATGCTAAAGTTTCTCCAAGTGCTAACAGACTGCAGAGGGGATCAGAAAAGTGACAGAAAGTATTTTGTTAAATAAAGGAATTGAAACTGAAAATGATCCTACAAGAAGAAAATATGATGGTTGTAAGGTTGTGGGGGCGGGGGAGCTCTACTTATCACAGTGACACAGGAAAGAAGCCCTGCGATACATTCAATAATCCCTTGTATCATTTCATTCTCACTGGGCATTTTGCTTATATGCCTGCTAATAGAAATTCAAGAAATGAAATACCCCTTGGGCACTGTTAGCTCTGACCTACAAAATACTCAATTATTCTTTAATTGAACATTTTATAGTTAGAAAGTTTACAATGTTTTTCCAACTTCCGTGTTCTTCTTACTCCTCTGCAACAAAAAGTATATACATTTAAATTTAATTTTTAAAATAATTTTGTTAAAATTATCCTTTACATTATTTTAAATATTAGTACACAGGTAACCAAAGTAATTCATTAACTTTTGATAAGTAATTATGAGGCATAAAACTAAACTATACTGGAAATGTATATCATAAATGTATGTATGGGTAGTGTTGATATCAATGCTTTCCTGAAAGAAGTTTCTCTAATATCAGTTTTTCAAATTGCCCCTTTATTTGGCACCCTGGGGAGGCAAGACATATGGTGGGATTCTGAATGGGAGAGAGATGTGCCTTCCTTTGGTAAAATGGTTGAAGGGTAATTATGAAAGGGGAAGTGGGAAAGGAGAACTTGCCAGAAAATGCTTGCTGTTGGCACATTTCAGGCATATCACTTATAAAAAAGGGTTCCTATGGAAAGAGTGGATCTGGAAGTTGGTTCCTTTAGAACTCTCTATATCCATACAGCCCTTGGAAAGCTGTGGGGTTCCCCAGGGCTGCCTGTTGTTTACTTTGAAGATCTCTGATTTGGTTCAGCCTGTTGCCCACCCTCCTAAGGTTGGTTTGTAGATTGCCAGGGCTCATTTTGCTTAAAACAGAGACTGTGTGTGTGTGTGTGTGTGTGTGTGTGTGTGTGTGTGTGTAGGGGAGGGAGGGATAA